TAACTTTTAAACTTCTATTTTAACCAAAATACCCCTCCTTAACATTAAAATTATTTAAAATTTTGCATTTTTAAAAAAAATGATATAAAAATAATTTTAATACATATAGTTTAAAAATTTTAATATGCAATAAAATTTATTAATTTTGACTATATTACAAAATTTTATAATTTTAATTTTTCACCACATAATGAGACTTATTTATTTAGGTTTTTTGAAATGGCTAGAAAATATATTAAGTAAATATTTTTTTCATCATATAATATTAATTGTTTAAGTTTGAGAGACTATAAAAATCATTCAAAATTTACAATTTAATATTTTTATTTAAAATTTCGTTAGAAATATTTATAACATATTAAGTCTATTTATATTTATTTAAAAAATTAATCAAATTTCCATTCAAGATTTGTAATTCTATATTAACTAAATTAATTAATTCTCCATCCCAATATAATAATAACACTAAACAAATAACTATTTGTAAAAATAAAATTAAGGAAAAGGAAAGCATTTTAAATTATTCAAAAAATTTTAGCCAAAATTTAGGGATTTATCGTTGTCAATTGTAAATTAATAAATAAAAAGTATTTTAATATAAATTTTAATTAAAAAGGTATCTTTTTAGAATATTCTTAACGGAGTTAACCGTTTGAACTTAAGTGCATGTTTTTAAAATAGAAGGGAGATCGGTGTAATTAGAACAAAATGTAAGGAAAGTTAGAGCATTTTACTCTTTATTTTTAACTCTCTGTCTGTCATTTTAACTCTCCGTCCACTGTTTTTTTTTTTTTTTTTGCCTTAAAAAATTTTCTAGCATGTGGTTTTGTGGGCGATCTGCTCGATGGAGCATCAGGATCTGTTCAGGTTTTGACACCCAGCAGTGAAGTTAACACTCCTCAGTTTTCTGAGCTATTTCATACTATGCAAGTTGATGCTTAGGAATCAGACACTTCAAATAACAAAGAAATTCTGAGAAAATGTTAAAGTAGAAGCTGCGAAATGAGGAAAATACAGAAGGAGAAAGAGGAAGCAGATATGAGGCTTTGGGAGGAGTCAAAGATGTGCAGCGCCTATTTGACTTAAAACATTGCAAGACCCACAGCAATTAACAAGAAAAATGACCTTTTATGAAGATTAATTGCTTTTTTAAGCGAAGCTGCGGCACTTAGTGCGCTGCTGCTACTTTTTTTTTTTTTTAATTACTATTAAAATATTATGAGATAGCATTTGGTACTGTTTTTTATTTTTTTTTAAACATTGTTTTAATAAGACAATGAGGTGGTGTTTGGTGCACCTAACGCTACCATGTTTCAACTATTGTCCTTTCAACTATTGTTATATTTATGGCACTGAAGAAAATAAATACAAAAATTCGAGTTTTTTCTCTCAAAATATGTGTAGTTCTGAACTTGTCGAGGTGCTTAAAAAACTCCACAATCACTTAAGAAAATACTTTCACGCAAGTCAAAACAAATTTTTTTTCACATATATATTTCGTGCATAGTAAAATTAGTGTTTTCAAAATGATTCTAAAGTGTTTCTGTGTGGTGCGATTCTTATCCTCTTAGCATCCCGATATGCTCTGTTCATGTTAATCTAACGGCTTATAATGTGCCATATCATCATGCTATTAAAAATTAAAATCAAATCTGATCAATACTATAAAATTACTGAGTAGCTTTAAACTATTTCTTCTAATTTTTTTTTTTTGAAGTGAAGTACCTAATCTCTTGGATTTACTCATTTTAACTGTAAAATTTATTAGAGGTCTAGCTAGACTGACACTACTTTCAATTCTAATTATAGACTTCATTTGTAGTTTACAACAATAACTTATAATTAAGACAAGAGATAGCATAACTTTTAAATAGCATAATAATGTAACACATTGCGAATTCTTAGATTAATCTCACCGGCTGTAAATTCGACGCTAAGGCGCTGAGAGTATTCTCTTCCTTCTGCGGATCCGATTTGCTCAAACCTATGAAACACAATTTCGCACTATGAATATGGAACTGAGCTGTTTAAATTGGATAATTCGAACATCTCTTTGGAATTCATATCTATTAAGAGGAAATAAGACAAAAATAAAATAACTTTGAGCTGTTTAAATATTTAAATAAAGCTTTTTGCACCGCCGAATTTTTCAAGAAATTGTTGCATGCTTATAATGTAAACATAAAACCAATCTTATAATAATACACATGCACTACATCTTAGCATTGTTAGAATTTTTATGATTGAATTAATGGTAACTGTATTATTACAATTTTTATTTCCGTATTTTCAGCACTTTGTTTGCGTCCGAGAGAAAAATCAACCCAGTAATTAACTAACTATCCAATACAGACATATTCTTAATCAACTTCTCATTTTAATTCACATATACAGATCAACCACTTCCAACATCATCTATATAAGATGAAATATTCTTTGGAATTTTTTTCCCAGAAGGTTAAGCTTGTTAAATATTGAAAAGAATAATATTCGACTAAAAAATTAATTCTAAAGCTATAACTATATGTGGGGCAAGTCCATCGTAAAGTTTATCAAAACTACATTAATTAAAGAATAAAAAACCGCAAAATGCCATAGCATCCTAAGCGAAGTAATTAACTCATTTTTTTCCTTTTAAAGAACAAAGTAATTTTAGTGAAATTGATTTTCATAGCATAAGTCTGAAGTTTTATAATAAGTTAAAACAAGAGACAAAAGAAGCATAAATAATTAATTTGAACACACCTTAAGGCTGACTATATATCTCTTCTTCACACAATTGTCATATATATCTGCCTTGTTATCTCATCCAATGCTCAACTTTGACTTCAAATGAATGTTGCACACTGGTTTGTCCATCCTCCACTTCCTTTACTTTCTCCTTCAGATCCTCAATAATATTTGTCGCAACCGGAGAAAATCGAATAACCAAGCTGTCTTCCAACCATTACCCTATAATCCCAAATCTTTTCGGCACAAATATGTAGTAACAACTTCCATACTGCATATTAATTAATGTATGTATGGAGCATTTAACACGAATTGTCAGGTGGGGGAAGCAAAACATTTATATTAAACTTTTACATATAGTGGCATCGTTACTTCATCTGTGATACCAACCTGAATACCTATATCCACAGTACAGAATGCTCCAAAGTGTCCGATAATTATGCGGCTTCTATATGAGATCCCTCCTCCCCATTGCCCGAGATTCACCTTTCTAAAGCAAGCAACAAGTGGCTCCTTACTCGACAAAAGAGCCACCCCACAAATCTAGACTCGGTGACCTTTTCAATTGGGATCAACCTCATTAAGCCAATTTATTTTAATAACACACTCGTCTGATCTTATTTATAAGTCACTTCTAATATGTGTCATATAGATCAAGAAAAATATTAAATTTTCTTAACTATTATTTAAAATTTAATAATTTTTCAATTTTATCCCTATTTAATATACTTTATATCTTATGTAAACAAAATCATCATAATAATCAATGAAAGGTAAAATTGTATATTCATATAAAAATTTTTCTCACTGCCCCATAAACAGTACCAAAAAAAAGCTGTTTTCAAAAAATAAAAAAAAAATAGAAAACAAACAAGGCCAAATGTCTCGTGTACAGAGAACTCAATGATGTAGCCTCTAGTTACATATGCAACTAATAATGATTAAAATTGACGTAGTATGATAATGGAGCGTGAGACCCACAACAATTAAAAAGGAAAACGGCGTAGTGATCCTTGTAGCATTGACTTTTGGTTTTGGTTAGTCGTAGCATTGACTAAAATGGTGGTAGCATTTGGGGAACCAAACGTGACCTCATAAATATTAGCTTTTTATAAAATAGAGGTAGCGTATGGTTCTGCCTCTTAAATATCTTTTTTAGTAGGGAAAAAAAAAAAGACAGAATCATTCATTTTGAATTTGATTCTACCTCTTGGTTTTTTCCTCTCATTATCTTAATTCTTTTTTCCCATTTATCTCTGGATCTTCTTTTCCATCATCTCTCCCCTCTAATCTTTCAACTTTACCCCCCCCCCAAAATGTCCTCAATTTTTCATTTTCAAAACCTAAATTTTCAACTCTCATTCTCATTTATCCCATAAATGAATCTACAGGTTTCATCAGAATTTAATGAACTCCATTTTATGCTCTCAGTTCATGTATCATTTCAAGGACTGCGTTGGAACTGTTAAAAAAATTCTGATTTAAGCATGAGATGATGTGTTGATCTTCTCCCTTCCCTCTTTAGGTTCTACTCGGTCTCCACTGTGGTTTGCATTTGATGCCCGCTACTGTTGAGGCCACCGATGGGGATGGGAGACAGAACAAAAAAATCAAAGGGTATAAGTTACTTCTCCGGTCCTTAATATAAGACCTAATTAACTAATTTGAGTAAACTAAGAATGCTAGTTAAATTAGTTAACATGACATGTTCTTTCTGGAATTAGTTAACATGACATGTTCTTTCTGGAACATCCTAAGTATTTTCCTTAATTCCCTCTTTCCCTCCTCTACTTCATTATTATTATTAGAAGAATATTAATAAAGTTAATTTGAAAAAAATTACTAGACTTGTGGAACAGATGTTCTGGTAGGACCAACATCAACTCCCTGATTAAATCTTACATTAAGCATACCAGGAGTATTTTTCTAAACAAAATGCACTAACATATGCAAACTTTTTCCTCGTAAATGATGTTTGTGTTTTTTGTTGGATCAAGAAAGCATACTTCTCTTTCACTCTGGTGTGAGTTTATACTTGAGCTATTGCCAATTAATGTCACTATATAGAAAATTAGTGCAAAAAATTGAGTTTTTCACCCTCGAAAAAAATATATATATATATATATAAATAGTTCTGTAGAAGGCAGATAGAATAGACATATGAGGACCTTGAGCATTTGGATGAAGGAGTCACACTCACTGGGATGATCAACACGATCCCAATACCTTGGAACAATGTTAATGTTATGAAAAAGAGAAAACTTGTAAACCAGCTTTGAGGAGCATGATGGGTGTAGCTACAAATGCAAGAATACTTCCATTCATAACAAGTTTCTTGTCAGAGACCATCACTAGAAAAAGAAAACCTGATGAGATGCTCGCGGAATAAGTTACTCACTCTGTTCTTCTCTGTTTCTCCCTTTAGAAACAGAGCATTTTGATTACTGAGAATTCATTTTTTTAATATGCTTTTCCTTAGTTCGTTACTCATAACTTGGTGGGATGTATGGGAGTGGGTCGGCCAGGATCGTTAGCCATGACAATGGTCTGAAATTCAGGGTTCTCGTTACAAACGATGTAATATGACTGTGAAGTGTGAGACCCACAACGATTAACAATTACAGCAACAATTAAAGTAAAGGCATCTTTCTAAGATTCATTTTGGTTGCTTGTGGCAGGGTTAACCTTTTTTTTTTTTATTGGGGCTAGGAAAGAGGAAGTAGACCTAAAACTTTGGGAGGGGTACGTAGATCTCAGACTCAAAGTCTCTAGTGCATCAAGGGGTCAATAACCGAGGGCCTATTTAAATAAAGCTAACAATAAAAAAATGGCGTGATATGATAAAATGAGGTGTGAAACCAACAACTAAAGTTGCCAAACTTATAAGTTAAAGTAAACTTGTGAGTTTAATAAAAAAAATACAACATTTTGGTTTTAATATATTTCAAATCCAAACTTTTTCTTCTTTGGATATTTCATCGCCTTCTTCTTGAGCCTCGACTATCAACTAGATGATAAAGGTTGTCCTGACAAAACAAAGTAGAAGATTACGACGAAGGCGACACGAATTTACAACTTCAAAATGTAACAATTTATTTTTGGTATTTCTTTTTTTTTTTTTTGTATGAGTATTAGTTTTTGCCTTTTGGCTTCTTTTTTTGGGACCAAATCCTCCTACACGTTCTGTAAACCGAGTTCTACCTAATACAATTTAACTAATTCTTAACTTAAAGTAGACATGTAAATGTTGTCTCTAATTTTGTTTGATTAATTTCTCTTTTTACCTGTATTTAATTATTCATACTAATATCATCACATTTATCATCTAGTAATTTGCCTATTCTCTCACATACACTCTCTTTTCTCACAAATAAGAATATTTATAGGAAAAAAAAAGAAGTTACATTTTTTGTTTATTATTTCTAACTAATTTTAGCCATTTTTTTTAATTATCAACGTGAATTGATTAGCTGCCTCTTATGGAAAAAAATGGAGGGAATAAACATAATTATAATGTTAGGACCATTTCACTCTTTCGTTCAGGAACACCTATGATGATGTCATTTTTTTGGCCCAAGCAATTGATATGTAGCCTTATGATGAAGTACAATATATGCTGTTTGAGGCAATGGACAGTGCAACTTCTTGAACAACTCGAAAATTGAAGCAAATTGGAAAACGACCGCCAGAAAATTAAGCTGCTATCAAGCAACGTTCAAATCCTATGCTTACTTCAGAGAGAAGATTCCTTTCTGTGCTTCTTCCATGTTTTCTACATATTGGGCTTTTGTTTCCAACTGATCTTAGCCCTCGACATTTAAACCTAGAGATTATCACCATTAATCTCAGATTAATCCATTCATTAGAATAATCTCCACTTTCTTCCACACGCATGCACGGACATTATTAAATTAATCGCACCAGCTGTTTTTGTTTCTCCCTAGCCCCAGCTAATCTTTTTAAAATAAACAAATATTTTGCACTTTTTTCAACAAACTCAACGATACAATGGAGAGAATGTACACAAAGAAAGAAAAATGAACATGTATGGAAAAGTTTAAAAAGAAGACGCGATATGATAGCTCCTCTGTTTCATTCCTTAATATATGAAGAAGTTGTTGATATCATAGTACTCACTACTGAAAAAGATACTCCGGTCCTAAATGTAGAAACTCATTTTTTAGTGTAAATCAAATTATAAAATGTCTTACATAGAAATATATGAAAATGAACTTCAAGCAACTCTATTCTTTAGTGATAGGAAAGTATAGACAAATGTAGCAAAAAGATACAAATAATTTAAAAAAAGAGAAGTTGGCGTATAGAGGGCAAAAAGAAGATGCAGCTTTTACGGATTACGGATATCAAATTAATTACTACCAGAGAAAAAATATAGACAATAAGCATAAAAATACAAACAGTTTAGGAAAAGAGAAAGCTCTTTGGCAACAAAATCATAAAGCTAATAAACCTAAACATGAAAACATGGATGATGGACTTCTATATATTATCCTAAAGCTCTTTGGCAGTTGAAATTGTCACTAAATGGATGAGCTGATGACATCTCGATACGAACAGCCATATCAAATTTTCAAATGACAGCTTCTTTCTGACATTAATTGAGGCATGCTCTTGAGCCTACCAAATGGGCAAAGAATAATCCCCAAATGGAAAGGCATCTATTATCATTATGATATTTTCCGCATTTAATACCATGCATTGAGTTGTGGAAATCACCAATTAAATGAGAACTAATAAAACAATTATCGTAATTAGTATGCGATTTAGTAAATTAGATCAAGACGTTGTTTTAGACTAATATTTGTTTTTAGACTTGTATTTGTATTTTCATCATTTTCCCAAAAAATCACATCTATACATTAGAATTAAAAAATTAAATTAATTTTATTTCCTGCTTTTTCCCTTTAAAAAATTATGAAAGAATTAAAACCACTAGAACAAACAAAAATATAACAGAAATTAATAAAAAGTGCCAATAAAAGGAATAAGTTCAAAAAAAATTTTAAGAGAATCCCAAAAAAATACTTTTAAATTTTAAAATTTTAAATCAATCTTATTTAGTATACTTTAATAACAATTGACAACATTTGAAAAATAAATGACAACGTATTTTTGTAGTCATTCTTGATTTAAGATTTTAAAATTTTAAAGGTATTTTTTTAAAGATTTTTCTCTTTTTTTTCATGCGTTGAAGAGAGATAAAATAAAACGGAAATCAGAAAACTCAGAGCACAGGAAATTTCTGAGAAAATGTCAAAGAAGAAGCTGAGAAATAAGGAGCGCAGCAGAGGAGGAGAAAGTACTAGTGGTGTGTAACTATGAAAGAAGAAGCAGATCTGAAGCTTTGGGGGAAGTAAATGGCGAAGTCTCAGGTGAAGTACGAGATCCACTGAATGAATATTAATAAATATCTCTGAGACGGAAATTTTATTATTGGACTTCATGTGAACCGATGTCCATTTCATTTTTATTCATTTATCTTATTACGAATCTCAAAGAATCTTGTCTTTTTTTCCCTTGCCAGCTCTCTTTCACATGGATTCTCTCATGATCTCTCCGTCAGTTTTTCTCTTCTTCTCCAGTTAACCCATTCATTACAATATAATAATCTTCATTACTTCCACTCACATGCACGGACATTATTAAGTCATGCCAAGTTCTTCTATTCATGTACCAACACAGAATAAAGAATTGCACTCTGCTTCCAGATTTTTTTCTACCTTTTGTCGTTTTTCTTTCACAGCAATTATAAAGAAAATGGTAGCGTTAAGGTAAGCATTTTTTTTGGACTAAGGTGCAAATTTATCCTAACTTAGAGGGTCTAAGTAAGGTTTTTAAAAAAATAAATTTGTCCTAAAAATTTAAAATTGTAATAATATTATTCACTGCTGATAAAAATATTTTAACGGTTAATATTAGTTTTTTAAGGGTAAGAATAGTATTACATGATTTTAAATTTTTGAGACAGATTTGCAACTACGAAAACTTTCAAATGGCCGAAGCTTCTAAGTGAAAATTTTCGAATTTCTACCTTAGCTTTTGTTTTTAAAAAGATTGATGTCAGGATGCGCTCCTCATAGCAATGACCAATGGAATCAAATTTAAAATATTAAAATTGAAATACGAAGCAACTGATACTACTGCATGCTTCATAGCTATAAAATACTATTTCCAGTATTTAATATAAGAACTGTTTAGTTTTTAATTTGATCCTAAATATAAGAGTTCAATCTACTTTGTCTCTCTCATATTTATCTATTTTTTTCAAAGTAGTCTTTGCAATAATTGCACATGATAGAGGTTTCATTAAATGATAGTTTTAGCTAATATACTCCTCCAGTCCTTAATATAAAACCCATTTAACAAATTAGATTAGATTAAGGAAGTTAGATAAGTTAGTTAATTATAAGAAATGTGACACATTTTTCCTAAAACATCATAATTATCTTTCTTAACACATTCTCTCTCTCTTCTCCTTGATTATGGTTGAGGGAGTATCCATAGGGGTAATTCAGAGAAAATTAATAAATATAAGAAAAATAGCTTATATTTATGACTAAAACTAACCCAAGAATTAGTCCTATATTAAGAACAAAAGGAGTACATGATTAGTAAGGGTATTCTAGGAAAAACAACAGCTATTTAGTACAAATAAATAACTTAACAAACTTTCTTAATCTACTTAAAATTAACTAATTAATTCTTATATTTAAGACCGGAGGTAGTAACAATTAGATTACATGCCCTGGCATAAATTTAAAATTAGAACTGGGTACAGATTGCATGATTAAATGTTATATAAATACAAAATGGTGGTAAAACGAAAATTTGGAGAAATAAAGAAAAATCATTTTCTTCTGCTCATATATTAGTGCTAAATACTCTATACTAAAAATATTATGCTTAGGTGCTTGGTACATCAGGCAAAAAAATTTGGTTAAAAGGTTGGAGGAATCAATTTGTTTCCTCATCAAAGTGTCGGGGAGAAAATTATGAGAAGTTCAAAATGGATAAAATGATGATATATACAAGTAGAATCAAAAGGTGCTTTCTTTAACCAACACTATATATTTTGTAAAATACTATAATTTTAGAAAGTTATATGAGATTTTATATGAAATGTTTTAATTTAATGCATTAAAATTCAAGATATTAAACCTGATCATGATACGTAACCCAGATGATGGACTCAGCATTCCATAAACTCATACCATCCTGCAATGGAATGACACCAAGTCACAATATTAGTTGGTAAGATTCTGAAAAAGTAATTTTGGAAAAGTTAATAAAAAAGACATTGGCGTAAGTAAAAGGATTAACAATTTTCT